TGGACTTCCCTGGTGGTCCAGTGGATCAGGGATCTGCATGCCAATGCAGGGGAAACAGGTTAGATTCCTGCGCTGAGAAGGTATCACATGCCTTGAGGCAACTAAGCTCATGTGCCATAACTACTGAATGCACGTCCTGCAACTACTGAAGCCCACGTGTCCAAAGCCAATGCTCCGCAGCAAGACAAGCCACTGAAACGAGAGGCCAATCACCACAACGAAGAGAAGCCACCTCTCGCTGCAGCTAGAGAAAGCCCGCGCACAGCAATGAAAACACAGCACAGCCAAAAATAAATAAATACAATTTTTTTAAAAATTCTATATTTTTAAAAAAGAATATCATTGGACTTACATAAGAAAATTGTAACACAGCATACACAAGCTTCTCTAGGAAGCCTTTTTCCATAATAATCACTTTATTTCTCAAGAAAAATACTATTGACCTAATCTGTATGTTGATTGCTAGCTAGTAAAAAAGGGAACTCATAACCAGGCAAAATGTGAACACAGCTAACTAAAACTCACTGTAAAAAAAAAAAAAGAAAAAAGGTAAATAAAATGGTGACTTTAAAGGCTCTACATGGTTTTATACCTTACACCTTCTGTTGCTGTAAGATATGAAGAGTTGTAGGTCTAACATAATTTTTATCTCCTTCCAGGACATTTTAGCAGTTGTGAAATGAGAGGCTTGGAACAACATCCTAAGTCCCTTCTAGTCCTAAAATTCTAAGTACATTTAATATATAGTTCTAAAGACATTTATACATACCTTGGCCAGACTGACTTCCTGGTGAAAGGGGAAGATGAGCAAAATGCCTCGGTTATTCCTCCATCATGGCCCTTACAGCGAGTTTGTTCTCAAAGTTAGTCTCTAAATTGACAACCAGTATATCTCATAAACGTTTGCGAACAGCAAACTGCAGAAGACCTCTCCTGACAATGTCTCTACATGTTTCACATGCATACTTTGATTCTATCTCCTGGAGGCCTTGCTCCCTCTCTCATCACCCCCTCATCATGTTGGCTAACACGTCACTAAATTCAATGTATAATTCACCTTTAACCTTTCTCCACCTCATGGCCCATTTAACACAGCTGATCCTACTTTGAAAATCCGGTTTTCTTCTCATGTCTTAGGTCACTTCTCCTTTAAGTTAGTCATCAAATGTTGGAATCACACAAGTCTGGGCCTTGGGCCTTCTTTTAAACTTTATATTTATGCTGTTTTATATGGAAGGCACTAGGCCATATGACTATTTAATAAACTAAAGTTAATAAAACAAAAAATTCAATTCTTTAGTTGCCCGAGGCATTTCAAGTGCTCAAAAATCACAAGTGGCTCATTGTATTGGGAGACACTGAAATAGAGTATTTCTGATATTCTGTCACACAGTGTCACTCTATACCATCTCCCTGAGTGCCTGTATTTATGCCCATGTTGTCAGTTATTATCATCTATTTGAAGAAAAATCTTCACACTTATACTCTTGTACAAACTTCTTTTTTGAGCAAAAGACCAACGTGGCCAAACACTTCCTTAATTTTCCACTTGGATATCTCAAAGCCCAAAATGCCCCAGACCAGATTTCTCAAGTTCATCTCCAAACCTAGCTTTAGAATGTTCTTCCTACTGTCACTGCCATCTAATTCCAGGTGAACTAGTTTGAAAACTCAAGCTATCCTTTATTTTTCCTCATCCCTTCAATCCATTTCCAAGTCCTCTGCATTATCTCTTAAGTACCATATCTCTCAAAATTTCCCCCTTCCTCATTTTTCTGCACCCCTCCATAGTCCTTACTCCTATAGCTTGACTAGTGGAGACACTTCCCTGAATTTAAATCTTGACTGAGTGACCTCAGGCAAATTTCTTAAACTCCTCCTTAACCAAGTTCTTCATCTATAAAAATAGGAATAATACTGATATTCTTCATAGTGTTGTTGTAAGGATTGAATAAGATTATGAATGTAGAGCTTAGCATAGTGTACAGGACATAAACTGTATCCTGCCTTTCCATACTTACTCTTGCTCCTCTCCAATCTTCTGCTCACAATGCAACTAGAGAGACTTCTAGTAAATGTCAACCTGATCATTTGCCCCCTCAACCTCCCTGGAAACCCAGTTGATAGGTTTTATAGGTCTTTGGGAATAGACCTCTTTTATCACACGTGTCCTTTAATCCCTGTGCTTTGACCAAAGTGGTCATATTCATTCCAAGAAGGCTTTTGCTCATAGTTCCCTTTTCTGAAACCCCCATGAAAGTTAAAATTTTATTCTAATCATCCTTCAGGCCTCACTGAACAGTCACTCCTACCTAAGTTTGATCCCTCTCTTTTGCATTCTCATTATACCATATTTCTCTCTGTCCCAAAACTTTTCGGTTTGCAATCACACATTTATATGAGTGGCTACTATTTATTATTACTATACATTTCTTTGTTTCCTTCATCAGACATGTTATATTGAACTTCTGATATTCCTCCAACTCAAGTCTGCTACATTCACCATCTTCTTCATCTCAGAAAATCGCAACACCATTTTTCTAGTTGCTCAGGCCAAAAGTCTTGAACTCTCTCTTCAGTACTTCATATCCATCAGTATATTCTATTGCCTCCACACAGTCTGACCACTTTCCTCCCATTTCCACTGCTCCACACAGTGGCCAAAACCACAATATAACTTCCTGGATTGTAGCAATATGTCTTAACATTCACCTACTGCTCAGTCACTCAGTCATGTCCAGCTCTTTGCGACCCCTATGGACTGTATAACCTGCCAGGCTCCTCTGTCCATGGGATTCTCTAAGCAAGAATATTGGAGTGGGTTGCCATTTCCTCCTCCAGGGGGTCTCCCTGACCCAGGGATCGAACTCAACTCTCTCACATCTCCTGCATTGGCAGGTGGGTTTTCACCACTAGTGCCACCCACATGTGACCATATTGAAGATACTGGTTAAGGAGGCGATTAATGTTAAAGTGAGTCATGAGGGTGGGGCTCTGATCAGATAGAAATGGTGCCCTATAGAAGAAGCAAGACCAGAGTTCTCTTCCTCTTCCTATGCCTTCACTGAGGTCATAGTGAAAAGGCAGCCCAAACTAACATACCATTCCACTCAAAGTTAAAGTCAAAGAGGTGCTTTACAATCTGGTCTTCATGTCCCCAATCCCTAAATTCTGATTTAAATCTCCTTTGATTCTCCTTAACCCTTAAACGGCTTCAGCCACATCCACCTACATGCAATTCCATCAACATTTTGGGCATGCTCTCACCTTCCGACCTTTGCTTCTCCTCTGCCTGGAACACTCTTTTCTCAAATGTTTGCATTGTTCATTTCCACAGTCAAATGTCACCTTCTCACTGGTACCATCCTATGAAAAATTTGGTACCTCCACCTTACACACATATCCTAACCCGCTACTTCAGTTCAGGTCACTTGCTCAGTCGTGTCTGACTCTTTGCAACCCCATGGACTGCAGCATGCAGGCTTCCCTGTCCATCACCAACTCCCAGAGCTTGCTCAAGCTCATGTCTGTTGAGTCAATGATGCCATCCAACCATTTCATCCTCTGTTGGTGGTCCCCTTCTCCTTCTGCCTTCAATCTTTCCCAGCATCAGGGTCTTTTCCAGTGAGTCACTTCTTCACATCAGAAGGCCAAAGTATTGGAGTTTCTGCTTCAGCATCATAGTAGTATCATAGTAAGCACATAGTAGGTGCTTACTATTTGCTTAAATCAATGAATGCTGAATTCCCATAGTCGCCAAATTAGCTCTTTAGCTAAAAGATACCACAAACACCAGCTACTAAGGCAGCAATCCTGTTGTAGAAACTACTGCCACTTGATTGCTCTGGCCTCTTCTAACTTTCTGGGCTTCCCTTGTGGCTCAGCTGGTAAAGAGTCTGCCTGCAATGTGGGAGACCTGGGTTCGATCCCTGGGTTGTGAAGATCCTCTGGAGAAGGGAAAGGCTACCCACTCCAGGATTCTGGCCTGGAGAATTCCATGGACTGTATAGTCCATGGGGCTGCAAAGAGTTGGACACAACTGAGGGGTTTTCAGCTTCACTTTCACATAGATGGCACTAGTGGTAAAGAACCTGCCTGCCAATCCAAGACATAAGAGGCACGGGTTCGAGCCCTGGGTCAGAAAGATCCCCTGGAGAAGACATGGCAATCCATTCCAGTATTCTTGCCTGGAGAATCCCATGGACAGAAGAGCCTGATGTGTTACAGTCCATAGAGTTACAAAGAGTTGGACCTGCAGTTTTCTGCCAATATAACCAAAGCTCATGAAGGACTTAAACTGTGGCTACATGATCCAAGAGTGGCTCCTTCCTCTCTTCCATCTTTACAATAAAGATAATAAACTAAGATGAAAAGTAAATGTCAAATAAAATCATGATAGGACAATTTTTTGAAAACTGCCTGGTTGCAGCCTTCGTCACAGTATTTCCAAATAGTTCACAAACTCTGTCTCTCTGATCATGCTTCCAGGATTCATCAAAGGATGCTTTTTATCTCCATAAATAAAATTTTAAATGACATAAACAATACTAAAAGACAAAAGAGGGAAGAATTCATTCATGGTTATCTGTTTTTATGTAGGGCTGTGGGTAGAATTCATGTTAAAAATGGATTCTCTCTACTGCTAAGAAAGTTACAAAGTTCCCCTACTTTTGACAGAAGAAAAAAATAGGCCTGGACAGGAGAGAGGTACCTTTCTATTTTACTTGAAATAGAATTCGTCATAACCCAAACCACGTCGAAACTTCCAGGCGAGTGCTCCCCTGTTAGTTTTTGCTCTCAATATGTGCATTTAAAAAAAACAAACAAACACAAACTTCAAGTTAAAAATGGTCTTGAAACAATAAGTTATCACAACTAGGCTATCAACTAACTATCACAACAATAAGTTATCACAACGGAGACGAGGCTCCTTCAAACATCACAGCTTTTAAAATGAAGGTGTCATCATAAGAGTGAACACACCCACTGCATCACCACAGGAATTAGTAACCGATTATGCAAATTAACGCTGCCTGGGGGTAAACGCCTCAAAGACCGTACAGAGGAAATCCTTCCTCCCGCTAGGCTCAGGCCTCGAGTGAGTGAGGGGAGTAGCGGTGGGCCAGATCTCCACACAGGCCTCGCCCCCGGCACATTTTGCCTAAAACTCCGGAAGCACCTGCGGGATGGACGAGAAAACCGGCCGCATCACCCGCAGGCGCTCTGGGCGGTCAGCCGCTCCAGCATTGCCTCGGGTACCAGGCGCCGCAGGGTAATCAGCCCAGTAGCCCTGCAGCATCTCGCGAGATCTCGCCTTCTGAGCCCCGTACTGCGAGCTCAGAACTTAAAAAAAAAAAAAAAGGCGAGCGGGCGACAGGCTCCGGAGCCGCCTCCTTGGTGGCAGCTGGCCCCTGAGCATCAGCGATCGGCGTGCGCCAAGGCAGGGCCCGCGCGCCCCTTCTCCAGCCGGCTCGGGCTGGGCGCCGTCCGCAGCTGGTCCGCCGTGGCCTGGGTGCCGGCCCACTGACGCGCGGCCCCAGGGGCGGGGAGAAAGGGAGGAGGCCGGGGGCCAGCTCCTCTCCGCCGCAGAGTGGGGCGGGGGAAGGAGGAGGAGGGCGACGGAAGAGGAGGTAGCCGCACAGAGATCTTCCCGGCGACGGCGGCGGGCGGCCGCTCCCCGATCGCGCTGCTCGTGCTGCCGGAGGCCCGCCTCGGACTGGCCGGACGCGATTCCTGCGTGGAGCCGCGCAGAAGCCGGGACCGGCTGGGAACCGAGGGAGCCTCTGCCGCGCGCCTCTGCCAGTCCGCGGGTGGGCGGGCTGAGGGGCGGAGGAGCCGGGGGCCCCGCCTCCCGCGTGCTACAGCCGGAGCCGCCACAGCCGCGGCCCCGCCGAGGCTTTAAACAGCGGGGCCCGCCCCGCGCCCGCCACACTCGCGCGCAGACTCGGCCGCCGGAGGCGTTCGTGCCGGCTCGGGCTAGCGGCGGGGAGCGCGCGGCTGGGAGAGCGACCCCCCCACCTGGCGTTGCGGCCGCTACCACCGCCGGCCGCGGGCGCGAAGGGTGTGCAGCCCGCGAGGTCCGCCAGGCTCTCCGGGTCCGCCGGGGGTCGGGCGGCGATGGAACCGGGGCCCACGGCGCCCTCCTCCGGCGCCCCGAGGCTGTCCGGGGCTGGGGAGACGCCTCCAGCCGCCCCGCTGGCCGCCGCCGGGATGGACCTGCCCGGCACAGCCGTGCCCTCAGTGCCGGAGGATGCTGCGGCTGGGAGCCGTGGCGGCAGTGGGGTCCGCGGGGAGGGCGGCGCGGCGGCCGGCGACGGGCTGGGTAGACCCCTGGGGCCCACCCCGAGCCAGAGCCGCTTCCAGGTGGATCTGGTTTCCGAGAATGCCGGGCGGGCGGCGGCGGCGGCGGCTAGCGCTGGGGCGGGAGGCAAGGAGACCCCCGCGGACGGGAAAGCCAGCGTCGAAAGCGGGCAGGCTAAGGCCAGCGAGGAAGCCAAGGGCCGCTTCCGCGTGAACTTCGTGGACCCGGCTGCTTCTTCGTCGGCGGACGAGAGCGTGTCAGATGCGGCAGGGATCGGAGGCGACGGGCCCAATGTGAGCTTCCAGAACGGCGGGGACACGGTGCTGAGCGAGGGGAGCAGCCTGCACTCGGGCGGCGGCGGCGGCGGCAGTGGGCACCACCAGCATTACTACTATGACACCCATACCAACACCTACTACCTGCGCACCTTCGGCCACAACACTATGGACGCCGTGCCCAGGATCGACCACTATCGGCACACGGCAGCGCAGCTAGGCGAGAAGCTGCTCCGGCCCAGCCTGGCGGAGCTCCACGATGAGTTGGAGAAGGTGAGCTCTCCCAGCCCTCTCTCTGCAGCCCTCCCCTTCTCCCCAGCCGCTGGTTCGCGTTGATCGCGGGACACAGCCGCCGGCTCTCCACGGGTAAGGCGGCGGGAATGGACGCGCACGACTCGCTGGCATCTCTGGATTCAGCTGTCAAGGGAGGAATTGCAGAGGAATGTAACTTAATCTCTTGAAAGTTTGCAGTGGGTTAGGCTAGTTACGTGATACAGGAGAGGCTGCTTTTAACAACCTTCCCTATCCAGTTGTATATCTAGTTATGCTTTTTTTTCCCCCTTACCCACGCTTTAACAATTACCATCCCTCTGAATGACAGTTGTGCTTTTAGGTCCGGAGAAGGGAATGTGCGGGAGGTTTAGTTGAGGACATCTCTCAGCAGAGAGTGGAGAGAACCTGCCATCCGTGTCGTTTTTTAAAAGTTGTATTGTATGGCTTCTGTACACCCATTAGGGCTCCCAAGAGTAGGAACGTTAGTGTTTGAAGGGAAAGCCTTAGCAGCGTGTGTTTGTGTTCTATGAATTATTAAAGCTCAGTTCCTGCAATCTTGAATATGCAAAGATCATAGAAATCTTAAATCTTGAGACAAGCTGTTCCTGATAATGGCATAATTCCACCTTTTATAATGTAAACCTTTTGGAAGAGGGTCACATCAGAAGGGGGGTGGAGTGGGCAGAGTTTAAAAGAGGGAGAGGGAGAGAGAAACAGGAGAATTTTTTTTTTTAGGAGAATTGTTTTTTCTGTGCAGGATGTCTATCTAAAAAAGACCTTTTGGGGTCTTGTGTAAGTAGTTACAGTTTGTGAACAGAAAGCCATCCCTATAAACTATTGATTTCTGTAATTGTATTTTTTATGACCCCATAAAACTTTTTATTTTTTCAGGGTACAAAATCGTTCTTTTGAGATAACATTAATGCTTTTGAGACTTGATTTATAATTAACTTTTTTTATAACTTGGATTACTTGAAGTTTGCCTTTACAAGTGTATAATGACTACATTGATGGAATTTGTGAATGCTAAGAGTTAGTAGTACCATGTAGATTGATGTGATCATAGTGTCAAAAAGTTGAAATAGAAATACAGAAAGTATGTAATTTCTTTTGGATATGATTATTTGATCTCATACAGTCATTTTATATAAGATTGCACCTGTCCCAGTGTTTGAAAATGTGGCCTAACATTCATTGAAATAATTACTGAGGTCCCAACCCTTACAGTGTATCCGATTGTTTAAAAGCCTGGCATCATTTAACTTTGGGTAATACTACTCCTTTCATTCCGTTATGGTATTTTGTCATTTCAGAAGAAAACATTTTTTCAAAAACACTTACTTTATTCATATTTCTGTTGTTTTCTCTCAAATGTATTCTTTTTTTCAAAATTCCTTATATAGTCCTTATAAAGTAGATTATGTAGCTGGTTTATGGAGCTGGTGATTTACCTTTTCTTAGAGCATTTTTGTTATTGAAAATACTATATAGACATTTTCAGGTTTATTTCATCAAAGCCCTAGTTGAGTAGTAAAACAGTCTATATTTATGCATAAGTCTTAAAGGCTTTTTTTTTATTGAAGGATCTTATTAATATACCTTGATCTTGTATGCTTCCTGGGAAAGTTTTTGTTATTTTAAATTAAATTCTCTAAATAGCAAAGCACTTGTAGTTTTCCCAAAGTTTCAGGGTTTTTTTTAGTGTTTTTTGATCAGCTCACAATGTATGAGAAAGAACACGTGCGTTGTTTAGATGTATAATAGTTGAAGAAGTCACCTAGCCTGTCAACCTCAGCTTCCTCATCTTTCAGAGTTATTTTGAAGATTAGAGAAAAAAATGTACACAAAGGCCCTTGCTCGGTACCAGCAAAATAATGACTAGTGCAGTTACTATTTCAGTCTTATATTGGCCCTTCGTAAAGTAAATAGTTAGGAACTTCCCTGGTGGTCCAGTGGTTAGGACTCTAGACTTCCAATGCAGGGGCAGGACTTCAGTCCCTGGTCAGGGACTTAAGATCCCATGTGCTGTGTGCTGCAGCCAAAAAAGAATTTAAAAAAAGAATTTAAAGTACATAGGTAAACTTTAGGATTTCACTTTTAAGATTCTCTCAATCTCTACAATTTTCGATGAAAGTAGTAACTAAAATGTTACGTTCAGAGTTTCATTTGTGCAGCATGTGGTGTAATAAGTTCTTTGTAGTTTTTTAACTTTTACTATTCAGGTTCTTTATGGGCAATGAAAAAGGTTTATTAGGTTAAGTAAGTACAGAACCTCATCTTGAAGATAATTTTGTTTAGAAATTAGCAAACGGATTAAAGAGATTGTCATGTTAAGGAGTCCCAATCTGGCCGTAGATAAACCGCTATTGAAGGAGGGCAGGGTGAGGCTGATAGTACAGGTTGGCAAGATTCCCAAATGTTGTTCTTCACTTTTTAGATTGACTTTTACTCATTAAAACCTTTTCTACTGCATGTAGCCCTGGATGAAATCATAGCGCTCAGAATTCTATAGCATTTAATCCTAGCTCTTGATTAACTGTCATGGAGTCTGCTCAGATCACTGAGTTCTTCATTATCTACCATAGATCTTAGTCTGTGCTGGGAACTAGGGAAGAATAAAAAAAAGTAAAAGCACTCCAGGAACTTGGGGGGAAAGGATTACACTGTCTTCCTATACTTGAGTTCCTTTCTTTGCCTAGCACTGTGACTTTCTAAAAGCATTTTGCCTAAAAATCCAGCTGAAGAGGAATAAATAATCAAGGTGCATCTTGAGTCCTCCATGTACCCAGTATTTGTTAGGGAGAAGAGTTTCTCAGGCGTAGGTCACATGACTGTGGCACTGTGGAACGGTGCAGTGATTAGCAAAAAAAATACTGACTCTCATACTCTAGTAGGCACATATTAACCAAACAAAAATGTAATTAAATCCCACCCCCGTCGGGTGCTGTGAAAGAGGAGTATAGAATGTTGATGAAGATACACTAGGTCCTAATTTTAGTTAGGTCTGGGGAGGCCTTTTTCACAAAGTTTGACACTGAAGCTGAAACTTAAAGGCTAAGCTGATGATAGAGCAGAACAACATGCCGGGTCAAAGGAACAAAATCTGTGAAGATAGCGAGAGTGGTGTGTTCAAAGAACTGTAAGGAGGCCAATATAAGATTAATTTATAAAGGTAGTGGAAAGTGATTCTGTGTGACGTAGCAACGTGAACTGTTCTAACATCTTTGGATTGCTGGATGAAGACAGGATTGGCAGGAGGGACAACAGAAGCAGCTTTTGTTGTGGTCTCACTATATATGATAAGGGTTGGGGGCAGAATGAGTGGGATGTACGTGGATTGGATATGGGCATGAAAGAGAAGCTGACTCCTAGGTTTTGGACCTGAGCAGCTGAATACATGGTAATTTGCTTAAGATGGTAAAGACTGGAGAAGGAACATTGATTTGGGGAGGAAAGAAAGAATGCTTTTTGAGTAGCTTGTAAGACATCTTAGTCCAAGAGTCATTTTGAGGAAGTAGGGGCAGAATATATATGTATATGAAATATGTGTGTGTGTGTGTATACATATGTATGTGTATATGTATTGATGGTCTAAAATCGTGTATGAAGTTACTTGGGGAAAGTGGGTAGATAAGAGAACAGAAACATGGTCTGAGCTTCGACTTGGGGAATGCCTAGAGGTCTACTGGAGATTGTGGAGACACTGGCAAAGGAAATAAAGAAGGAGCTCTTAGGCTGGTGAGAAATAGCCAGGAGAGCAGTGTCAGGGAAGCTGAGAGAAAATAATTTTAAAGAGGACAGAAAGTCTTCAAAGCTGATACCAGTAATTGATTTTTTTTTAAAAGAATAAAACTGACTTAGTGATTCCTGCCCCTACAAGAATAAATTAAAAAGTAGATGGTAAACAAATAAGTATTTGATAGACAGTTTCAACGTGTATGATAGAAAACATCAGATGTGGAAAAATGTCTCATGTTTTATTAAGCATGTTGTTTTTTTCATTTAATTCCTAAGAAAGAAGTCTTAGACACATTTTACTCATATAAAGTGGGCTCATAGAACCTGAAGAAATTCCTTAATACCACTGTCATAGAAAGTGGTACAAATGAAATTCACACCCAGGTTTTCTTGACTGTTGCCAGGACATAGTAGCTCCTCTTTCTTATTGTTTCCTCTTCCTCTGTATTCCCTGGGCCTGATCTGAGATGGCAGGGATGTTGAAGGGGACATGTTGGGGGTTGCCAACATTGCTCTTCTATCTTGACCTGAGAGTGGAATGGTTTCATAACTGAAAGAAGAGAGGGGGAATTACTGACTAATGTGACTGTCTCTTTCACTTGGACCTGAGCTGGTATCTCATTCATCTCTGGACAGAGAATAGGTAGTTAATAAAGATTTTTTGTTGAGTGTATCAGGGTGATCAGTTTTTCCCACTTAACAAGGACTTTAAACAAGTGTAGCTACCACTCTTAAGTGGGGTATGTTGAGTCTTGGACAAAAAATTCCACACACTGCTAATCATATCAGTACAGAGCTTGAGTTTTGGAAGATCACCCAGGAAGAAGAAGAATGGGTCAAATCCCTGGGGATAAGGAGGAGAGTAAGTCCAGGAATGAGTAGAGGTGGGACCTTGATCAGAAATATTTGTGTGTGGCACAAACTTGGACTGTTTCATGATTTTGCCAGGGGCCCCACCTTGTAAGGGCTTCCCTTGTGGCTCAGCTGGTAAAGAATCCGCCTGCAAAGTGGGAAACCTGAGTTCGGTCTCTGGGTTGGGAAGATCCCCTGAAGAAGGGAAAGGCTACCCACTCCAGTATTCTGGCCTGGAGAATTCAACTGAGCAACTTTTAGTTAGTGACTTAGTGAAGTTGCTCAGTTGTGTCTGGCTCTTTGCAACCCCATGGACTATAGCCTACCAGGCTCCTCCGTCCATGGAATTTTCTAGGCAAGAGTACTGGAGTGGGTTGCCATTTCCTCCTCCAGGGGATCTTCCCGACCCA